AATGATACCTGCACATGGTTTGAAAAGGGATTGGAATTGAACTTAGATTGATCCAATCGCGTCACAGCCGTTCAGACACACACATGACAATACAGAAGAAGAAGCAATACCCGTAAAGCTCACCCTAACCCTGATCTGACCAGAAAGACTGCACACGCACAAGAGAGAGACCAGGACAACCATGAGCTGAAGAAAGAGGCCACAAATCACGCAATGATTATCAAGTCTCTAAATCTGGCTTCTCGTGTCCCAGGACAAGAAGAGACTGTAAAGATTTTAGGTTAAAAAAATGTTTCATGTTCTTCTTTTAACGGCAAAATCAATGCACTAAATGAAGTGAATAAGGTTTCTAGTGTTTCCTAGAGTAGGGGTGTGAAAGTATAGGTACCCCTTTAACTGACACTTCTGCTTCTGTCCAAGACAGAACTTTTTGGACTTACTACACCAACATCATTTGTAAACTCTGGTCCATGATCATCTCCTACATGTACGTCTGGGTCTGATCCTAGTGGCTGCAGTTTCCTCGGTTGAATCCCCTCCGACCAATCAGAGAGCAGGGGAGGCGGGTGTTGTAGGTCCTGTCTGTGACGTCAAGAGTTTGTGCTGAATTTGTTGGTTGTAGTTTGTTGGAGAATGTGATAGTAAAATAATCTGTTCTTGTTCAATCCAAATATCAAGAAACTGAAGCCGGAGCAAGAGTTTAGCAAATGTCATTGCTGCAAAAATGTTGTGGCTCTACTCCCCACGGGCTCCGTTAGTGGCAAAGGAGATGGCTAAAGCTAGGCTAAATGCTAAATGCCCCACTCACTCGGGCTCATTACATACGTCATGGTAAACTCAGATCCAATGATTTCAATCTGCAAAAGGAGTTAACCCCTCCCACCTGTCAATGGGAATATTCTCAAGATCAGGTTTTAAGAAACAAAAAATTAAAATGAATATTTCTAATGTACAGTTCGAAAGTATTCGGCTCCCTAGAACATTCCGCCACATTTCAGGCTTCAAACATAAAGATATAAAAATTAAATTATTTGTCAAGAATCAACAACAAGTGGGACACAATCGTGAAGTGGAACGAAATGTATTGGATAATTTATTGGATGACTGATCAGAGATGCAGACAAGAGGCCCATGATCACTCGGGATGAACTGCAGATAACTACAGCTGAGGTGGGGGAGTCTGTCCATAGGACAACAATCAGTCGTGCACTGCACAAATCTGGCCTTTATGGAAGAGTGGCAAGAAGAAAGCCATTTCTCAAAGATATCCATACAAAGTCTTGTTTAAAGTTTGCCACAAGCCACCTGGGAGACACACCAAACATGTGGAAGAAGGTGCTCTGGTCAGATGAAACCAAAATCGAACTTCATGGCCACAATGCAAAACGATATGTTTGGCGTAAAAGCAACACAGCTCATCACCCTGAACACACCATCCCCACTGTCAAACATGGTGGTGGCAGCATCATGGTTTGGGCCTGCTTTTCTTCAGCAGGGACAGGGAAGATGGCTAAAATTGATGGGAAGATGGATGGAGCCAAATACTGTTGGAGTCTGCAAAAGACCTGAGACTGGGACGGAGATTTATCTTCCAACAGGACAATGATCCAAAACATAAAGCCAAATCTACAATGGAATGGTTCACAAATAGACGTATCCAGGTGTTAGAATGGCCAAGTCAAAGTCCAGACCTGAATCCAATCGAGAATTTGTGGAAAGAGCTGAAGACTGCTGTTCACAAACGCTCTCCATCCAACCTCACTGAGCTCGAGCTGTTTTGCAAGGAAGAATGGGAAAGAATTCCAGTCTCTCCATGTGCAAAACTGATAGAGACATACCCCAAGCGACTTGCAGCTGTAATTGCAGCAAAAGGTGGCGCTACAAAGTATTAGCGCAAGGGGGCCGAATAATATTGCATGCCCCACTTTTCAGTTTTTTATTTGTTAAAAAAGTTTAAATTATCCAATACATTTTGTTCCACTTCACGATTGTGTCCCACTTGTTGTTGATTCATGACAAAAAAATTAATTTTTATATCTTTATGTTTGAAGCCTGAAATGTGGCGAAATGTTGAAAGGTTCAAGGGGGCCGAATACTTTTGCAAGGTACTGTATGTTTGGGCGAGGAGTGGGATGCGTCTGTGCTTAATGTTCGGCTGTAAGTGCTTTGGACCTTTTCTCCGCGGCGCCTCGCTCTCCTCCTGACACCCAAACTGACGAGTAATTGCCGTCTCCCCCCATCCTCGCTCATCCCTCCCCCATTCTCGCCCCCTCACCCCGCCCCATGACATGTCCCTCTGCACTTCTGTGTGATTGCAGCAGGACTGACTCAGCCTCCCACTGGTTTGTGAGGAAAAAGCCAAAATTAAAAACTATATTTGAATAGTTCACGATCTGCACCTTTTACGAAGTAGTTTTTGGAAAAAGTCAGATCTGTTTTAGTGCCATACGAATAAAGTTTCACTCTATCTTGAGCAAACATTTTCAAATTTACTGACGATGATAAAAGGTTGAGGATTTTAGATAGAGAAATTAGACATTTTCAAAGCAGGGACGTCTGTTTTTGTAAATAAACTCCTCCTCTGTGAACGTCTTGAATCTCAATGTCAACCAGTCAACATTTGGACATTAGATCTGGTCTTTACACTGGGCCTGCAGGTGGCCAATGTGAGTGTTGAGGATGTGCACCTATAAGTGACCATTACGGTGTGTTTTTGATCTGCTGGGATCTTCAGATCCTCACCCTCTACCTGCTAAAGTAGAGAGGAGGATTATTACGGTTATTATGTACTCTTTTAATAGTCACTGTACATCCATCTTGGATCAAGTAGCTCCTTTTAAAACTAATAATCTTGAGCATCAACAGACTTGTCCCTCGGATTAATGAGACTGTTGTGAATCTGCGGAGATCCTGCCGTAAAATCGAACACTTGTGGCATCCCACCAAACTTGAGGTTCACAGACTGCATCTGAGGGACCTTGTCGCCTCTCTTAACGATCACTTAGATGAGGCGAGATCAAATTATTTTAATCAGTTCATTGTCTCCAATAAGAGAAACCCCAAGGTGCTCTTCGACACCATCAGTTCTATTGTCTCTCCTGCTTTTGCTGCTGTTGCTGTACAGTGAAGAGCAAGTTGTACTGAGTTTCTGAACTTCTTAAATTGACAAGGTTAGAGAGATTAAAGATAATCTTCCTTCCACTCCTTCCTCCCGTCATGCTCACATTGACCCTCCTCCTCAGAGCTGGTCATCCTTCAAGTCAGTCACTCAAGAGGATATTTTATCAACTCTAAAGTGCATGAAAGTGTCGTGATGTCGGCTGGATGTTGTCCCGGCCCGGCTTTTTGTTAATGTTTTAGAGTCTATCGGTCCGTCGATTTACTAAGATGTTTAACATGTCGCTCTCAACTGGTGTGTTCCCTTGTTCTCTTAAACATGCTGTTGTGGAGCCCCAATTAAAGAAACCCAGCTTGGACCCAACAGATCTTCAGAACTTTAAGCCCATATCAAAGATCCCGCTCTTGGCCAAAGTCCTGGAGAAGCTAGCCTACAATCAATTTACTGCGTTCTTGGAGGCTAACAATATTTTTGACACCTTTCAGTCTGGTTTCAGGAAGTTCCACTCCACTGAAACTGCTTTACTGAAAGTGTCTAGTGACATCATGATGGCTGCTGACTCTGGTAAATGTTCTGGCCTGGTCCTGTTAGACCTGTCGTCTGCCTTCGACACAGTGGACCATGGCATCTTGGTCTCTAAACTACGGGATGTGGTTGGTATTTCAGGCTCTGGGTTAGAGTGGTTTAGATTGGACTATTGTATCAGCCTGCTTACATGTCTTAGTAAAAAAGGCTCATTTACAAGTCGTTCAAAATTCTGCTGCAAGGCTTTTGACCCGCACCCACAGGAGAGCCCACATTACTCCAATCTTGAAGTCCTTACACTGGCTCCCTGTCTCACACAGAATCAATTTTGAAATTCTAGTGTTGACATTCAGGGCTCTTCATGGTCAGGCGCCTGAACACATCCAGGGCCTGATCCACCCCTATGTCTCCAACAGGAGCCTGAGGTCCTCCACTCAGAACCTGTTGATGGTCCCCCGCACTCGCTTTAAAACTAGAGGAGACAGATCCTTCCAGGCAGTTGCTCCTTACCTTTGGAATGAGCTTCCTCAGTCTCTGGCATCTTAGAGACTGTCGATGATTTTAAGTCCCAACTGAAGACGCATTTGTTTAGACAGGCTTTCTCGCCTCACTGTTCATAGGCCTCTGTGAACTGTGTAAACTGTGTGTTTCTGTGTTTTTGTTTTTAAATCGGACTTGTGTGTGTATTTTATGTGTTTTAATGTGTGAAGCGCTTTGTGACCCTGGTCTGTGAAATGCGCTATACAAATAAACTTTACTTACTTACTTAACATTCGCTTGTATAGCACAGTTTGTGTACACCGAGTTTCAAGTGCTTCACAAGAGAAATACATGACTAGTAACTAGTCTCATTTTGAATAGACATAAATACAGCATTTTATTTCTTCTTTTGTCAGAGGCACAAAATGAACAATGTCATATGGTCATCTCTCTCTGTTCTCTCTTGTCTCTTTCTTATATCTCTCTGGTCTCTCTCTCTTGTCTCGCTCTTGTCTCTCACTCTGGTCTTTCTCTCTGGTCTCTCTCTGTTCTCTCTTATCTCTTATATCTCTCTGGTCTCTCTCTCTCTGGTCTCTCTCTGTTCTCTCTTATCTCTCTCTGGTCTCTCACCCTCTTTCAGGTCTCTCTCCCTCTGGTCTCTCTCTTATCTCTCTCTGGTCTCTCTCTTTGGTCTTAACTTCCATAACTTTTTGCAGTGTATTTTGTTCTTTAAGCTTCCATCTTCTAAACCTGTAAATGACAAAGTAACTAGTCTCATTATCATTTCAAATGCACAAACACATAATAAACCTTTTCCTTCTTCTTTCAGACACACAAATGACACAAAGTCCTTATTTTATGTGTGTGTTTTTTTCAGGCAGTGTGTTCCTGAAACACGGCTCGGAGCTGCGGCTCATTCCCAGAGACCGAGTGGGAGGAAGAGGACTGTGACTCAGAGCGGACCCCAGCTACAGACACCAGGAAACACCTCAAACCATTGCACATGGATCCACCCAGAGAGAGGACAGCTGGTCACTGCGTCTGTCTCTGGGTGTACGTGACCCGTGTGGGGTCTCTGCACCGAGGGGGCGGGTCAGGAATGTTTGAGGACCCTCGTCATCATCACTTACTTTGCTACTTTTGTTTTGACTGTTCAATATATTACCATCAAAGCCCATGGAAATCTAAAAGCGTTAGATGAATCTTGTCTCTCTGGTCTCTTGCTAGTCTCTATGGTCTCTTGCTAGTCTCTATCTCTGGTTTATTACAAGTCTGTCTTTGCTCTCTTGCTAATCTCCGTCTCTCTCTCTCTCTCTCTCTGGTCTCTTTCTTCTGTTTCTCTGGTGTCGCTCTCTCTGGTCTCTCTTTGTTCTTTCTCCCTGGTTTTTCTCTGGTCTCTCTCTTGTCTCTCTGCTCTCTCTGCTCTCTTTCTGTTCTCTGGTCTCTCTACCCCCTCTCTGGTTTCTCTCTGGTCCCTCTCTGGTCCCTCTCTGGTCTCTCTCTGGTCTCTCTCTGGTCTCTCTCTGGTCTCTCTCTGGTCTCTCTCTGGTCGCTCTCTGGTTTCTCTCTGGTCTCTCTCTGGTCTCTCTCTCTGCTCTCTCTCTGCTCTCTCTCCCTGACAAGGAAATACAATAATGGAATTAAATCTCTTCTTGTATTAAAAAAGTTTTTACTCTAATGGTTTTCAGGCCTGTTACAATCATTACAACATCGACTCATCGTCCAATAATTAATGGTCGTTCGATACATTTTTACATAATTTATCATCTGTGTCTTTTCTTTAATAATTTCAATTGATTTCACTTAGTTTTTGCCCTTTTGAAGTATTACTTTTGTACATTAATTGTATTAATTATTAAATGTAATTCCTGCAGTAGTCTGACACATGTTTCTGCTGAGTTACAATAAACAGGAGAAAGCAGCGGAAGGAGACAGAGCTCTACTGCCCCCTGCTGTCCTCTGCTCAAACAGTGCCGCAAGTCTGGCTGCGTCCGAAATCAGAAGAATTCCCTTTTCTTGTTTAAAATTCTGAAAGATTTGCCACGATACTAAGGTGAACTGTGTGTTTACCATAAAACGATGGTACCAGTTTAACTTTAAAAACGAATATTTACTAAAAACTCTTGTAACTCTCTCAAAACAGTTTGGTTCAATCTCTAGTTTGTGATTTTGGCCTCCTTCCCATTTTTAGATCTGCTTTTGAGACATAAAATAGAGAGCCACACTTTCACCTGCAGGTGGCGCCACACACTTTGTCTTGATATTGTATTAATTATGATTAAAAGAAACGCTTTGCTCAAAGGTGTGTATTTTGTGACTAAAACCCATAATTTCTTACTGGTCTCTCTCGCTATCTGGTCTCTTTCCATATGGTCTGTCTCTTTGTGGTCTTTCTCTGGTCTCTCTGGTTGGTCCCTTGCTCCCTCTCTCTCTCTCCCTGGTCGGTCTCGCTTTCTCTCTCTTTCTCTCTGGTCTCTCTCTCTTTCCTATCTTCTAATTCTCCCTTGTCTCTCTCTCTGGTCGGTCTCTCACCCTTCCTTTGATCTCTCTTTCTCTCTTCGTTCTAATTCTCTCCCCTCTCTCTGGTCTCTCTTGTTGATCTCTGCTCTCTCTCTCCCCCCCCAGTTCCTATACCTCAAAAGTCAATAAAAACAGAATTTGGATGCAGACCTCATAGCCGCTTAATTGGAGTTTTTAAGGATGCAGGTCACAGCGAGAGTGAGCTGATTCTCAAACACCATGAAAAAAAAAAAACGTATTAAGGCTGCATTTGAGGTCAGAAATCTCCAAATCTGGACTTTTAACATCAGGGGAAATAAAGTGGGACGAGTGGGAGGACTTCTGCAATATGTCGCTGTCAAAACTGTGGCTTGAAGTCACACATTTTTAATTAAAATCCGCGCCTTGTTGCTTTTGAGACGAACGATGAACCCGGATCTGTCTTGTTGTTTACGTTCAGAGTGAGAGAAATGTGTGGTTAAAAAGCTGAAAGGATAATGACGCGGAGAGAGGAGGAGGAGGAGATGCTCCGGTAGCCACGGTCAGGGTTAGACGCAGGGACACAACAAATGGATTTTCTCATTTGTTTTGTTTTTAATCAGCTTAATCGCAGAACCACAGTCTGTAAATGTACTGCAGGGAAAAAGGAGAGAGAGAGAGGGGACTGTGAGGTCTTTCCATTGGAGGAAGTTGTTAAAGGAGGAGACTGAGGCCTTTTCATTGGAAGTCGTTAGAGCTGGTTCTGCTTTTAATAATGCAAATAATAATGTGAGAGGAGTGGTCACAGGAAGCACTTTTGTGGCAAGAGAAGCGACATTAAAACTTACTGAATTCATATTTAGTTCAAGGAGTCACAGTATTTTGACGCTATAGAACCCACAGAGAGTTCAAATCAATGGGATCTAAACCACAGGGGTCAGACTCACTGTGGTCAGGGGCCAAATTTAGGAACATAAGAACTGGTGGGGGCCGAAAGTATAAAAGTGTTTTTCTTTTATTCTTTTTTTTTCTTTTTTTTTATCAAACCAAAACTGGGCCCACAAAAATCAAGAATAGATGCAAGTGAAGATTGATAGTTAAATATAAAAAAATAAATGTTTGCCAAACTTAACTTCCAGGACCAGTCCAGGACCATGGCACCTTAATGCTTTAAACTGCAAATGTTGGTTGTCAAGCAAACCAAAATGGATGTATTTTAATTTTAAATTCAAATGGAGTCTGCATGTTCTCCCAGTGTCTGCGTAGGTTGCAAGGGCGTAGGTTTGCGTGGGGACCATGGGGACATGTCCCCACCAATATTTGGTGAGGACTAAAAAGTCCCCACCAAAATGACATGATGTCCCGTGACCCGGACGGTCCGGGACACATGTCTTCCGTTTGTGCACACTTCGCGCCTCCTCCTCGCCTCCAGAGCAACAGCAGCAGCAGCAGCACGTGACCCGTTCCGTTCCCTGCAGTGATTGGCTGTCTTCTTCAGCGCCAAACTGAAGCACTGAGCAACTGTTTAATTTTTAAAGGTTAGCCAGCGTGAAGCAAGTGTTTTTTTTCGTTCCCTGAGCGTTGTAGCACGTGAGTAATCAGAGGAAAGTACTGTAGATCTATTACCATTCAAAGTACTTACGTTATTTCTAATCTGTCAGTGCACTGTTTAATGTTCCGAGGAGCTCACACGGCATACAGAGACAGAACAGAACTGGCTCCAATAAAGAAACAGGTTGGTTGAAAGGCTGAGAAAATACTTATTGTGCTCTTATTATCCAAAATGTATGAGTGGGTGTGTTGTGTGAATCAGGATAAACTAGGGATAAAAATATTCCACGGATCCACGATTTACAACCTTTATCTGCTGATAATGTGATTTCTGTGAAATGTGTGACAGCGGGCACTTGCTGCTATTTGCTCTAAGCACATTCAAGCGATGCACTCGAATGTGCACGTCCTGGTGCAGCTGCTGCCGCTTTGTAATGACAGCCGCGGCGCTCAGTGAAAGCACAGCTCTAACATGGTACCGAGCTCGGACCATATGCAGACAGAACCATGTTGCAAGTGCGGGTCTCCCTCGTATCTCCCGCGTTTCTCCCCTGTGTCTCTGACATGTCTCTCCCCTGACTCTTCCCAAAGCGCAACCAGCGCTCCCGAAATTAAAGCTCGGATATGTAAATTTTCCATTACGTTAACGATGCATGCTGGTTGTGCGCAAAACACACCACAACAGGTTATTTAAGTTTTTATTTTGCATACTTGAGAGCCCTGTGAGTCATTACTTGCCTTTTTGGGTTGAGAGTGGAATAAAAAAAAGAAAATATAGAAATATCCACACTGTTACTTAATGCCAAACTCTTGTTAACTCATTGTATTGAGAAATACTATGTAACTTTTGACATTGACCAAGTTATATAAATGATTCTGCAGTTCATGTATATGAATGTCTGTTTTTGATTTTCTATACCTTCTTATATAATTTAGAAAAAATGCCACCTCCACAAAAAAAGATAAAAGATATCAGGAGCTTTTTTAACAGTTGGAAAGTAAGTAAGAGAAAGCACAAGTAATAGCAAATTATGAATTGTGATGATTAATCTTCTGTTAACATACATAGGAAACTCAACCAACAAGAACAATATAGGGAATGTTGAGGTAGAAGCAACAGGCCCTTCAGTGCATCAGGCGAGGTTGGAATTTTGTAGGTATGCATGGGACTATGAATTGTTTTTAGAGATTGATCGTATATGTCAAACAATGTAGTGAGATACTCACTGTAGATTCTAATTCAATATTTTCTCCTCTGTTTTTATTTATTATAGGAAATTGAAAGATCAGAGCATGATTTATTTCAAGTATCGAGAGCAGTTCCTGAACTGTTAGAGCATTATTATGGGCTATTATGTAGATTTGGATTAGGTTTAAGTCAGTATATAATGAACGCAACACAAAACTCAGAAGCTCTGATCCAATTGATTTTGTTTTAACTATTAGAAAAAATCCTTAACTGCTTCTCATTCAGTCTACAGCTGAGTTTAGTATAGAAGGCAACACACTATTGCAAATATAGTGTGTGATTACACAACAAATTCTGGGGGAGAAACTCTGGACCCCGTGTCAATGGGTGTAGACTCAGGTCGTAGTGAATGTCCCCACCAAGATTGGAACCAAACCTACATCATTGGTAGGTTGCCTCGGAGTGCTTTGGTTTCCCCTACCATTAAGAACCTGTACAATAGGAGAAAACAACGAGCTTTAAAAGTTTAGAATTTTGCTACTGTTGATAAATGGAACAATGTAATTACTTTTTATGTGAAATGTGAAATAATTGTAGGGTTTGATAAATATGTAAATAGTAATTCTTATCACATAACGGTTAATAATGTATCATAAACTACATTGTTAGCTAGCGTTAGTTCTTCGACATATAAAGGTCAGTTTGTATTTCTGTTCTTGTTCTAACGTTGATA